AGGAAATCTTTACAAACGACACGACTTACCGTTGATCCTTTTGGAAGTACTTACCCAGATAGCACGCATAGTCCTATGAATATTCTTCTGGAGTGCAAATATTCTTAATTTCAGAATATTCCAATTGAATATTCTATAAATATATACAGATTATTACAAATAGAAATCGTATATTCATAACAAAGAAGGACGTTCTCAGAATATTTGTCGAGAATATCTTTGGAATATTCGTTGAGAATAATTTTTCAATATTCATCGAGTTTACGTATTGCACATTGTTTACTGTGCAATACATTTATCTTACGCAAAAGGCAGTGAAACCTGTGATAATACCATGTATAACCGACACGCTATGTTCGATAGATTATTCTACTCACATTCGAAAAAGATTTATAGTAGTGCCAGTCGAATATTCGACGAACATAAGATAAATATGTAAGAATGACCTATGGAATATTACAAATATGCTTGAAGAATATTCTTAAAATATTCATAGGAGTGTCTTGTGCTATCTGGGTAACTGCCATCGACTCCCTGGTGAAAATAGAATTTGGAGCGTAAATCGAACGTAAGGGGAGAATGACAGAAGCGTAAACGAAATGTGTAGGAAGCGTAATTTGGAATAGCGAAGCGTAAAAGAAACTTCGAACGCTCTTTTTACGCTTGGCTGTTCCAAATTACACTTCCTACACATTTTGTTTACGCTTCTGTCATTTTCCCCTTACGTTCGATTTACGCTCCAAATTCTATTTTCACCAGGCCTGAACTTTCATCTTCCGGCCCACTTGACACTCGGATTCTCTCTTTCACATCGTAATTTTCCTTCTTATTTAGCAGAGTCTCTACTTCCTCTCTGCTCGCTATTCGTCTTTTTCCTTGTTTGTGAATGTGTCTTTGCGAGTGTCCGTAGTTGAACTCGAGTCGATGGGTTACATGAATTTCAACGTATTGTTCTTCCACTGAAGACGGGTGCCACAAAGAAAGAAGAGTCCGTGAGTTTGCCAAGGATCGTGCGGATCAACATCCCCTGTGGGAATTTAACGTTGATTTTCCGTAAAACAAAGGTTACGAGAACTAAAAGGCGTACGTACGAGCAATTCTGAAATACTTACGACGAATTACGTGAACGAGCGCCCGTTCTTTAACGAAAGACGGTCTCCTGTATTCGTGAACGCACATTTCAGCTCGTTCGCATTCTCGACGCTCGTACGTTTGTTGAGGGAAGCGATCGCTCGCTCGTTCGTGTTCGTTCGCGATCGCGACGAGCGTGTGAAGGCGCCAAACGCGCGATCATTCTCTTCAATCGATCGGTTAATTAACTCCAGCTTTGACGAGAAGTTTTCATGCATCGCAGCTTCTTTCCGTGCGATTCATTCGGTCGAAGTAGCAATCGAGACGGAAACAGGAGACACGCATTCCGAGGATACGTTTCTACAAGAAATTAACACAAATTAACAATGGATCAGTTTATTCGACCTTAACTGGCACTTGTTTAATTAATTAAAAATAAAAAAATATAACGTGCGACGTTTCGACCACGAGTTTGGGTCCTTATCGAGCACAACACAAGTTAAGTCCACGGGAATCTTTCATAATCGTCGATAATTATACAAAAAAGTGAGTCTCGAAGATCGCGCGAGTAATTAAAGGTTAGGTTCGAAGCAAGTAAATTAGACCCAAAATTATCAAAAACGAAATAACACGGAGAGTAAGAACACGAGTTTTGCGCGGGTCTTGTCAATAATATTCACTTATCCGCTCAATCGTGGCAGACGTTTCGACACATTAAGGCCGAGTCGTGAAAGGCTATTGTATACGACTTACGTTTCTCTCTGCCTTGCCCTACGTCTACGACTGAGACAGTCTTAAGCGTTTACGGATTGTTCTCTGCCATCAGCCTAAGATTCGCAGTCGTTTATTTCTCACTTCACAAACCACTTATTTCTCGCTATTGTCAATTCACTCACCGACAGCGGAGCCACGCACGAGCCGCCGGATCGCGATCGGGAGGGACGATACGTCGCAGCGTCGTGTGTCCGGCGTTTAATTCGCCCAGCGACGGCATCTCGCTCGCCGGCGGTCGCCGCGAGAAGGCACAGAATGTTCGGCGTACGTTTCGAGTCCACCGTAATCGGGTTTCTTTTCACTCGCGAGAAAGGAATACGACACGAAGTCGCGCACCGACGTCAACACGTCGCGGTTGCCGTCGCGTATGAGTTCGGCGCGCCGAGCCGCCGATTACCGAATGAGCCGCCGCACGCGGTTGGCCGCGAGCGCGTCGAGCCTCCCCCGGCCAGCCAATCGCGTTCGCTCCAAGCCGGCGCGACTACGATACTAAGCGCGCGCGCGCCGGGCGTGACGTCGCGACTGAAAAACTTGTTTGTCGCATTCCACGTCGCTTGACACGTGATCTCGCCGATTGTTTCTTGTTCGGCGTTCAACGTACGTGCCCGAGTGACGCAGCGGTCATTCGCTCGACGAGACTCGAGCGAGTGAGAAGTGTTCGCGCGCACGTACAGTCGAGCCGTCCACCGCTATTGTTTCGAAGCAAGTCGAGTCCGCTCAGCCAATCACTTTCGACGTCTCTTTA